GCACTGATAGGCGGCACTGATGGGCAGCATTGATGGGTGCTGATGGGTGGTACTGACTAACGGCATTGCTGGGTACTAAATGGCGGCACTGCTGGGCAGCACTGATGGGTGGCACTGATGAGGGGTGCTGCTGGGCACTGGTGGGTGGTACTGCTGGGCACAGGTGGGTGGCACTGCTAGGCACAGGTGGGCACAGGTGTGGCACTGATGGACACACGTGGGTGGCACTGCTTGGCACTGATGATCAGTACCCTGATCATCTGCTGTAATTGGCCTTTTACCACATCGCATGATCAGCTGTGTCCGTAGGCAGCACTGATGAGCACTGACGAGGAGGCGCTGATAAGGAGGTACTGATATGCAGCAATGATGGGCACTGATAGGCGGCACTGATAGGCGGCACTGACTGACGGCACTGCTGGGCAGCACTGGGTGGCACTGATGGGGGCACTGATGGGCACTGGTGGGTGGCACTGCTAGGCACTGATATGTACAGGTGGGTGACACTGCTGGGCACTGATAATAAGTGCCAATCTGTTCTCTGACAATTGCCGGTTATCAGCAGTACTTTCCTCGCGCTGTGACAGTGTGAGGAAAGTGCAGCCGATATCCGGCAACTGTTTTTGGACACAGCTGATCACGTGGTAAAAGGCCGCTGTGATTGGCCTTTTACCACATCACGTGACGCCCTCCCAGGACTTGACAACCGTGCTGTAACCGTCATTCAGCTATAGCGCGGTTGCCAAGTGGTAAAAAGAGAAATACAGCCAAAGCTCTTTTGGCTGTACTTCTCTTATGGATCACAGGAGTGCAGTTTGTTCTGCACTCCTGTGACTTGGCTGAACCCTGTTGGCCACTGACGTCACTCAGCCAGCCGGTCCAGGTTGGGAAAGATCCCAACTTTAAAGTCGGGATCCATCCCACAATATAGAGCGGCACCTGACTCTGTTGAGAGCCTGAGCCAGCCGCTCCCTCCCCCTCCACAGCCCAGCACTCCAGTGAGCACGGGTGGGGAACAGAGCTTACAGCAGTGACTGACAGTCACTGTTCTCTGCTTACAGCGGGGTGAGAACTCAGGGATCATGTGATCACTGAATTCTCACACTTAGAGCCTGCAGGGGACAGATGCAGTATCAGACTGATGCTGAATACACCTAGGTAAGTATGAGTTTTTTTTTTTCTTAAAAAGCTATCCCACACTTCTCTTTTAAAAATGTTGAATTTTTGTAAGGGAATTTTTCATAAAAATGCGTTTACAATTAGAAAACACATGTGGTCGAAGAAAAATTTGACAGTGTCTTTTTACTGGACTTTTATAAGTTTTATCTTCCCAAAGAAAATTACCCACTCTGTACAATCACGCCTTATTCATGTCATTAGTTACCGGAAGCACCTATGTTTGTGAGCAACTATTTTATTTAAATACACGAAGGGCAAAATTAGAACCAAAATATCTGATGAGCACCTTTAGAATTCATTAAGAATTGCTATTACATCCATCAAACCAGATATTTATGTGTTAGTTTATCAAAAATAGTGTCAAATATTGCACTAGTTTTATGTTGTCCTCTTTCACTTTTATAATCAAAAATATTTTTAAAAATCAAGTTTTATTACTCAGATAGGAACATTATCTATATCAGTAATCATTTTCTGCTGCCTGAGTTTTTCTGCTCATCAGGTATATCAGTAATCGTTTTCTGCCCAACTTTTTCTGCTCATGAGCTATCCCTATTACTAGTGTATTTAATGTGTGGTCCAAGACAATTCCTCTCCTTGCAATGTGGCCTAGGAAAGTCAAAAGGTTGAACACCTCTGGTCTAGGGGTTAATGGTGAAAAACGTACCTTAACCTCCCTGGCGGTATTCCCAAGTGCAGCTCGGGGTTAACTTTCAGTACCAGAAGCAGTAACCCCAAGCTACACTCCGGAATGCTCTGCAGTGCTTCTCCAGCGATCCCGGTTTAACTTACCTTATCCTGCGCTCCCGCGATGTCCCTCCTGCAGTGTCCCCAGTCATGTCCTCTGGCCGATGCCGCCATCCGTCTTCCAGGTTCCGTTCCCTACAACGTCAGGACGTACGGGGGGCGGAACCGGCGGGAAATTCTAAAATTTCAAAATGTGATATTCACTAAATACACTAAAATGTGATAGTATTACATTACTGTATGAAACCATTTCACATACATTTTGTCCCGAGTGCTTTGTCCTGTGCCCTTGCCTGATTTTTACTGTTCTTTCTGCCTGGAAACTGAGAAATGTCCATGGCGTTCAAAAAACATCCCTTTAGGTCAAAAGCAGTTTTAGACCAACTAGAGAACAGCGATAGTAAATTAGAACCACTTGCAGAATTGGGTGATAATGATTCGTGGGGAAATTCGTCATCAGACACTGAAAACGATTTTGCGACTGAACTCAGCGATGTGTAAACTTGGCGCTCTATTTAAAATTTCTGTGTTTTTGGTTTGATTATATTATTGAATTAAATTTATTATTATTATATTATTATTTTTTATGATTATTTATTATATTATAATTTATGATTTCATGTTTCATATTTTATTATACCCAGGATGTTTACTAGACTCTTGTTCAGACAGATTTCAGTGAGTTATTCCTAAAAATTACAGGCCTACAATAAAAAAACAACATATTTCCATTGAAAATAATGTACCGCTTTGAGCACAGAAATACTGACATAATCAGACTGCTAGGGAGGCTACTGCTTGATTCTGCTCTCAGATGTCCCTGGTATGTGGGTAGGATCTCAATGTCCTCATTTTGATGACATCTGAGAACTATGACTGGCGAAGATGTGTCCAAAGCACCTTCAGCAGACTAGCTGTATGGCATGAAGAAGGCCCATGGGAGCAAGAAATATGGTATGTAATTCACCCTATTTATTATACCCTAGAAAAAATTAAACAAAAAATAATCTTAGAAATGTGAAGGTGTCCCACTACAAGGTGGTTGGACCCCCTTTCATTGGTTGCTAGTAGGAGATAGACCCGCTTACACAGGTGGTCAGTAGAAGAAGGACCTACATTGGTGATCAGTGGGTAAGGGTACCCTTACACTGGTTTTCAGTGGAAATAATTCCTCTTTACTTTTAGGGTTACAGAGAAGAATGACACTTAGAGTGGTGGTCAACCCAAAGGGTGTTTATTACAGACAGCTAAAAATATAATTGATGTCATGATGAGCGGAGAGGCTCCACTGGCCCTATGCTGCTGACTCTGTTTAGGGACATTGAGTGCCAGTTCACACTACATGAGTTTCAGTTGCTTTTTTTCATCCAAAAACGCACAGAAAGTAGGTTGTCAATATCATAGTTCACATCAGTGCATGCGGTTCCAATGCTTTCCGGTTGTAGAAAAAAAAAAGTAGAACGTGCTGCATTTTTTCTGCACAGAATTGTAGTGGAACGCGGTAAATCACATAAAAAAAAACACCAAAAACGCACTGGAATGCACATGTCCCTATTTAAATTGAAGAAAAAAAGAGGGAAAAAAATGAACTGGAATGCATAAAAAATGCATGGGAATGGGTGGAGCCGCACTTGCTGACGTCACGCCGCTGCTTCCGAAGGTCGGAGCGGCGGCCATCTTGGTACTCCATTTTTTACCTTTACTTTCATATCTTCCACGTGGATTGTCTTTTATTTATATTGCTTAATCAAATACTGCACTATATACGATTTCTGGCTCCTGTGGTGAGCTATTCTTCGTAGGAGAGGGTCCACCTACAGTTTGCCCTTAGCGGAGCATTCCATACAGAGGCTTCTTTGCTGTTTCCTATGTCCAGATGAGATGTCCTTACATGCCGTTTACCAGTAGTTGTCTGGGGAGTGTACATCTGACAGAGGTGGTGGATTTCCTTACTGGATCCCTTCACAGTGTTTCACCGTGATTGCTGTGCCTATAGTTCCACGGACGTATTTTAGTTTGTCATACTGATATATATGGACTTTATTCATTTCCACTTTACATGTTGCACTTGACTGCTCCACATTCATTGAATGGTTTTTGATGCTTATATGTTTTCACTTTATATGTTGCACTTGATTGTTCCGTTTATTATTATTTACCTTATCGCTGTACCTCAGATCGACATTGCACTTGATTACCTCACATTAATATTAGTTATTTAATTTTACGTTTATACCATATTTGTTACTTTTACCTTTGTGCTAGCCACATTATATTTCCAGCGCTCACCTATACACTTATCTCTAGTTGCAGGAAGTCCAGTTGCATGGTCTTCCCTGAAGCAGTCAGACCACGCAGAAAAAATTCTGTCAACTTAAGGATGTATGACAGATAAGAATGGGGGGATTAAAGCCAAACTCTCTCCATAAGCATTAACTATTTTTAATTCTTATGCTGCTTGCATTAGTTAATAGATATGAAAGTATATTATATTTATGTGTTTTAACCTTTTTTTTTTTTACATTTATTCGTTTGCTTCCTGTTTTCTGGCCTAAGCCAAAATGATGTCATACATCTCAGAAGTCCTCAGGGGCATTTTTTTCTTCATTTGGAGGAGGGCAGAGTTTGCTCTGAATATGAAAAAGTGAATTAAAAAGTATTTTCAGTTAGTGGTGCTCTGATACATTTAAGTTCTACTTTTACTGTGGTTGTGGGGGAGTTATGCTACCTTGTGGCATAATATATCAATGACTTAAAGACTACTGGGTGGAAATATATATATATTAACTGTGCTTTGGTTTAGTATGGTGCAGAAAGATGTTGCTGGATCATATTGAGATACTGTTGATTAGTGATATTATATACTGTCATTTGGCGATATACCTTGTTATATACAGGAATATTTTGCTGGGTGATAAAATATACTGATTCAGTGCGATATGTTATTGCTACATAGTATAATATACTGCTTTTATGTGATGTATTTTACCATTGCTGTGTGGTATATTTTTTGCTAGATGATATCCTCTTGCTTGGTGACATATTATTGCTGGGTGCAAGGGTGGACTGACAACTCATGGGGCCCCCGGGCAATAGGGGATCATGGAGCCCTTGTGTCCTTGCCCAAACTCAAAAAAGCCTATGAAAAAGGTACCAGGGGCATCTCATGGGGCCCCCTACTGACCCCAGGCCCTCGGGCAGTGCCCGAGTTTCCAAATGGTCAGTCCGCCCCTGGCTGGGTGATATCATATACTGTTGCTTTGTAAGGTAAGCTCTGCATAAGCAGTGGTTCCTTCTGTGAGAACCATGTCCCAAAATGATCAATAGATGCAGGCATATTAAAGGATAAGTTCACCTTTGGGAACATGTTACATGTTCCACTTGTTTTTAAGGTGGAACGTGTAACATGTTCCCAGTTCTGCAGCTGCTGCCTGATTGTGCATTCTATATTGGCAAGCAGATATACTGACAGGTCTGCAGGAGACCTGCATGGCACCAGGGATCTGCTGATCGCTGGTGCAATGTTTTACAGGCTCCTGCAACAAAACATAATAAATGCACTTTTTTTTTACCTGCAAAGAAATGTGCATTTATTTTTTTTTGTCAAAAGGTGAATGTATCCTTTGATTTACATGTAAATCTTGACTTTTCCTGTAAGGAAGAAGGGAAGTCATAAGGGTTAATTTTAGGAGCTGTGTTAAGTTTTAGGGTGATGGAAGAGCTAAAGTGGAACTTTCATTTACTTTAACCCCCTTCGCGCCTAAGGGTAAAACAAATCTTAATGCCTAAGCACAATTCTGCAACGTTGACATGTATTAGGAAAGCCTTACATATCATCACAATTACTATGTACATCCACGTGAATTATACCTTGTTTTTTTTTCATGATAAATTGGGCTTTCATTAGGTGGTAAATGGTAATGGATATATCCTGATTTTCTTTTTCATTATCAAAGGAAAACTGGTCCAAAATAGTAAAAAAAATTTTTTTTTTTTAAACTTAGCTGTGTGTTTCTTGTTACTACCATAACCTACCACCAAAGAACAACCCAAAATAAATTTTCCAGCTCTTGACGATTGCAGCGATACCATATATGTGTATGGTATTTGTTGTTTGTACCGTAGTACAGCCCAGAAACAATAGTGCGCATTTTGTTTGTTTTTTACCTAAAACACTCCGACACTGAGAGTAATACCAATTTAAAAAAAAAAATCCTGACCATTGACCTTGACCTTCGATCCTGACCTTGACCCAAACACTTACCCTGGCACTGAACTAGATCAAACCGTGATCTAGGTATTTTTTCTTTTTTTTTTATTAAATTTTTAATATTTATTTATTGATCTTTTTTTTTTTTTCTAACAAACATTTTTCCCCCCTCTATGCCAGGAGTTAGAGAGATACAATGTACAGCATCTCTCTCCTTCATTCATAGAGAGAAAAAAAAAACACACTGATCACTGTGATAGCCAATCAGAGGCTATCACAGCGATCATGTGACCCGGAATCGGGAGTTCCGGGTCCCGATCGTTAGAACGGAACCCGTGGCTCTCAGTGACACCCCAGTCTTTGTGCTGGGAGCGCGCTGTGCAGACAGGACAGGTACGCAAATATGCGGCCCCACGGAAAAAAGCCCAGTTATGTGAGTCCGCATATTTGTGTGACTGCGGCATCAAGGGGTTAAAAGCCTGTATGAATAAGTTAAAATGACTCAATAAACATCAACAATATCATTTAAAAAACCCTGTGTATTTTACTATAAAAAAAGCAATCCTTTTACTCCAGATAGGTGACTTTGCCTAGGCCGAGTGGATGTCATCAGTCTGGTGAGGGTGATGCCTTTCGTCTTCTCTCCCCAGTAATCAGATTTCAACATTATGTCACGTACCTATATGTGGAGATGATGAGGTGGCCTCTTGCACAGTTCCCATCTGAGCAATCCTAGATAGTGAGACAGAGACTGAAGGGGCAAAAGAAAAGGCACAAGTACTGAGGTGTAGCCGATGTGAACAGGAACTTGAGAGTGCTGGTATCTGATGAGCAGAGATACAGCTGGTGATGCACTGTGATGGCACCACCAGGACATCAGAGTTAGGCGCAACAAGCATGGTACAGAATCACTATGCAGAAGTGGGGTCAGTAGTCCAGGCCGGGTAGAGACAGACAGCAGACAAGACCAGGTAGGGATACTGCAAGAGCATGGTCAGAGGGGAAGCCAGGTTGGTCCCAGGATCACGGGGATAAGGCTGAAGACCATGAAGAACATACAGCACAGGATCAGTGCAGGATTCAAGTTTAAATAGGCCGCTTGTCAGCAGTGCCCGCATGTTTGTGTGCAAGTGCACGTGCTTGTGTGCTCATACGTGCAAGCAAATGAGAAATCTGTGTTCTATGCTTATGCCTATGCACATGCGTATTAGCCAAACAACATGTCCGAGCCTGATCTCTGGAGCCACATTTCTGACTTATTATAACTTTGTATCAAGTCACAGTTTGAAAGGCAACAGCATGGGCTGATCTGTATCAGATATTCTGAACCCAGCCAACAACCAAGCTGAAACCAGGAACTACATGAATGTCATCAGCAAAGCCCTTCATCCCTTGTGGTGTGCGCTAATGAACACTGCGCACTTCCGGTGCCTCAACCTTCTTTAGGGCCTTCATTCACCTGGCAACACAAAGGGTTCACTACTGGCATAGCAGTCTGTCTTAGGGATTGATGAAATGGAGAATTTGTACTTCTTAATTTCCCCAAAATTTTGGCAAAAATTGAAAGATATTGAGAAAATTTTGAGATTTGGTAAAATCCAATAGTGAGCCACCCGGCCCTTTAGGGGTTTCAGAAGCCGGGAGGCGGGGCGGGGTTTTAGGGTCATGTGACCGCCGTGTTTCGCTGTTACTGCGGTCACATGATCGGCAAAGGTCCCGATCAAAACAGGAGATTGAGACCTTTCCATGAGTACCGGACATGTGTGCAGGGAGCGCACAGGGCGTGCCTCTCAGCACATATGTTTTTCTTAATCGTACACAAATGTGCGGCTGCTTGGTGTCAATGCCCAGACGCCGGGAGGCTGCACATTTGCGTGCGGCTGGCGCCAAGAGGCTAAGATAGTTTTTTCTTTTAGGATATGGTATTCTGCCAACAAATCACTAGTTTTAGGGGGTTATTTACTAAAACTGAAGAGTGCAAAATCTGGTGCAGCTCTGCATAGAAACCAATCAGCTTCAAGGTTTTATTGCCAAAGCTCAACTGAAAAACAAGCTGAAGTTAGACGCTGTCTGATTCTACCATGCACTAGATTATGAGTGCACCAGTTTTAGTAAATCAACCCCTTATTGTTTCTCTTTTATTTCCTGTTAAGTCCCCGGTCACATCAAAGCCAAATTTGGAAATCGTGTGACTTACAGTGAAGTCGCGCAATTTCAAAATCAGGTGACCTGCTGATTTCAGTTGCGATTTGCAAGACATCTGACCAGGGGCGGACTGACAACTCATGGGGCCCCCGGGCAATAAGGGATCATGGGGCCCCTGTGTCCTTGCCCAAACTCAAAAAAGCCTATGAAAAAGGTACCAGGGGCATCTAATGGGGCCCCCTACTGACCCCTGGCCATCGGGCAGTGCCCGAGTTTCCAAATGGTCAGTCCACCCCTGCATCTGACACAGATGTCTATGCAAATCGCAACAAAGGTAGTACATGTACCACTTTAGAAATCGGTGCGCTCAAATAGCAGACAATAGGGTGCGACTTGGCATATGATTTGGCAAATAGCATGCCAAGTCGCACCCGATGTGACCGGAGTGTAAAGAAAAAAAGTTACAAAAAAAGTAATAATTCAAAGCAGCTGTATACCTGTATACTAATAATAAAAACCATAAAAAAACACAAATACAAAGAACAGCCAGTAAACTCCCCAGCATGTTATCCTATGTGTCCATGCAAACATAGGCTTTAATCAGCGTTTTTTTGCTGGAAAAACGCTATAATGCTGAAAAACGCGTTAAAACGCAGCAAACCAGCGTTTTTGGACTATTTTTGAGGAATTCATTTTTTTGTGTAAAAAAGGTTAAAAAACACAAATGCAGAAAAACACAGCTAAACGCTAATGCAAAACTTCTAAAAAATGCTGAAAAACTTGTGTTTTTGCCATGACTTTACACAGCTAAAGCTGCCAGCGTTATTAAAACGCCCAGTGTGTATGGAGCCTTATATTTAAAGTAGAACTATGGCCTCCCACTAAAGTAACATGCCCTTGCAGCACTTAATTTTAAGTGCATTTTCTCTTAGGGCTCATGTACACAGTTCCAGTCCAGAGCCTTTTTTCATCATGAAAAATGTAAGCAAAGCGTTTTCAAGGTACTCAGATGGACAAAACACTGAACACAGGATGTTCCTACCAAGCTTGTTACACATTGTAATGACCAATTCAGACGTCTCCCATCCTTGGAAACAAAAAATATGTTAATGACCATTCACACCTCAAATTCCTCATGAAGACCCCCTGCCAGGTTGTCTTAATGACTCACTCCACCAGACACCTTTCCCACCCTTGGAAACAAAATAAATGTTAATGAGCAACTCACACCTAAGCTAATCTCAACACATACTGCTGTCTCTGCTTCTACCCTCTGTATTTCTCTAAAACAGTCTGAAATAGTTAATAATTTACCACTTTTTAGTGCATTCTGGGCATTTAGGAGGTTATCCTGTGCTTATCTTTAAAAATCGCTTCTAAACGCAAACGTGCATAAATGTACATAAACGCGCTATGCAAACGCAGCTAAATAGACTTTTTTTAACCCACGTTTTCCAGCAGTTTCCATCGTTCAGGAGTGTCCCATGTACATGGGGCCTTACAGTTTTTTCTTCCAAAGTCCCACACATACCTGTTGATCCTGTCATTGAAGTAATTATCCTGTGATGGAGTGGCAATGATGCTGCACTGCTCCTGAATTCAGAGTTCAGAGCAGAGTTGTCACTCTCATGTAAGCTGTGCCTGCTTGCACTACAGTTGTAGTAAAAAAATGTTGCAAGGGGCATGGCTATCAGCATTTTCACTGCTGCGTCACAAGCCTGCAGCCTGTCAATCAGCACCTGGCCAGAATTAGTCCTGCCCATTGCTTTCTGGAAGGACAGCACTGACTTTGTTACTGGAACCCTCCTACTATAACCTGCAGAGTCTGGGAGAGGAGGCAAGTGAAGAAGGAGGCTCAGGGAAGGTAAATGAAGTTCTTAGTTCACTTTCTAAGGCTTGTGCTTTATACAGTAACTAGATTTAGTACTTGTTTATTCATTTGCCCTTTGGCAGATTTATCCCCTTCACGATCATGCCATTTTTTGTTATATGGGCCTGCTTTACGTTAACCAATTG